GGATGATTGAGAACCTTCACAGACATGTAGCAGCATTGCATTGCATTGCCCAGGAAAAAAGTTTATTATCTGTTGTTCCTACTCAAACAATTGGAGATTGGTTCACACATGTCCCACCAAATGAGAACATAAAATCTATGCACACGCTAACAATGAATTTCTCCTTTTTCATTCCTTTTTGTCTGCAAATATATTATGTTGTTCCTACTCAAACAATTGGAGATTGGTTCACACATGTCCCACCAAATGAGAACATAAAATCTATGCACACGCTAACAATGAATTTCTCCTTTTTCATTCTTTTTGTCTGCAAATATATTAATTAAAAGTGTTTTGTTATATCTGTTTGATAAGTGCAAAAAACACTTGTTGATTTTGCCAGAAACCTTGTTGATGGTAACTTCCTGCCTGTGGGCAAGGAGAGGTTATGGAAATGAGGAGGGAGAAGAGAAGAGGAAAAGTCTGTGTTCTGTGTATTGCAACAGAAATGAAATAGTCAGAGCTGACAACAAGAATTTAGAGCTGTGTTGTCATGTCAGAGAAGATGGCAGGTGAATACTATATTTCTAGCACATTAACTGTTATTTTTCTATACTTGAAGTGTGTTTAAAGAGATAAAACATGGGAATATGTGAATGTATTCCAGAGATGTAGTAAATGCGTTTTTTTTTTCTTTTTCATTTTGCCTGAAACTGGCCACACAATATCTGTACAAATTCCTTTACAAAGTGTGAGGGCCTATTGAAGCAGTCCAATTAGTTTAATCTTAAAAAGTAGGGCTCTAGCACTACATATTTCTTAAATCTAAAGAAGAATGTATCTTCTGTTTCAATGTTTTTATTGTTTAAAACAAAGTAGACACAGATAATGGGTTCACAGTGCTCCAAAATAGGAGTTAGTCAAGGAACAATACAAACATAATGAATGCAAAATCATATCCTATGATGTGCAGCATTAAGAGCAAGCAGGTGTCTCGCCCATAGTTGTGTGGCAAGAATTTACATTTTGTGTACCATCAAAATTAACAGGTTTTACACCTCTTAGGGGAGAACCCAGGAAGGGAAGCAAAGACCAAGGGGGAAGGGAGGATGAGGTAGCGGGGAAGAGACCCCCCAGGGAGAAAAGGAAGAAGAAAGGAGCAAAGGGGAAAGGGAGAAGGGTAATGGTATCTCTCATACCAATAGTGTTGGCAGGTCCCACCTCGGACCGTCATTCATTGCTTTTGACCGGCAGCAGAGTCGGCCCAGCCCCTCCACTAATACCAGAGCCATTTCAAAGTTCAGATCCCATCAGATACCCCGGTAGCTCATTGGATCCATGTTAGGGTGGCTATACCGGAGCCAAGGTTCCCAGATGCCCAGAAACGTATTATGTTTGTCTTCTAAAATACTGGAGAGGTGTTCATTAAGCATAACATTATCTAGCCTATTGCCAAATTCCACATAAGAGATTTGTTGCTTCTTCCAGTTGCTGCCAAGGTCAGCTTGGCTGCTAGGAAAATGAAGTGTGTTAAGGCTCGCTGTGTTTTATTTAATCCAGGTATAGACAAGTGGAAGAGGGCATATTGAAGGTCTCTGGGAACACGTATGTCAAAAAGGGAACCAAGCAGTCTAAATATCTTTATCCAAAAGCGAGTGGCTAATGGGCATCGCCACCATACATGTATCATATCTCCCACTTCCCTGCAACCTCGGAAGCAATCATGCGAAGCCGAAGGGAATTGGCGGGCCAACCGTGCCGGGACCAGGTACCATCTCATTACCACTTTATATGCAACTTCAGCATTTGTGACATTTATAGAGCAGCTCGCCATATTCCTCAACATCTGCTGCCAGTCCTTCGCGACCCATTTATGTTGTAATTCCCCCTCCCAGCCTCTCGAATACTTGTGGTCGGAGTGGCTAACCAGCCTGTTCAGTTGGGCATATAATATTGTCACTAGACCCAGGCCCCCAGGTGAGTGAAGGCAGATATGTTCAAAACATGTGAGACCGAGTAGGGTCTTCCCTCTTAGTCAGGGTGGAGATCCAATGGTGAAGTTGGATGTACATGTAACGTTCAACCTCAGGTATCTTGTTATGTTTCCGTAGGTGGGCCCATGAAGGTATGGCAGGGGTGCGCAGGAAATCTTGCACTATACGAAACCCGTTATTCGTCCACCATCGGAAAGCTTTGGGGTCGTCCATACCCGGCCTAAACAATGGTTGGGCCAATAAGGGGAGAAGTGGTAAGTATGGCGAGAGGAAGTTTGCTGAATACTTGAGAGAATCCCACACTTGTAGAGCATGCACCATAAGGGGACTCAACTGCTTGGGCCTGTTACAGGATGGTAGCCAGGGCAGTGCAGAAAGGGGTAATGGGGAGCAATTTGGAATTTCCAACATAATCCATAACGGCGGAGACCTGCATTGATGTATGGTTATCAATGGTAGGAGCTGAGAGGCTCAGTAATATAGCATTATATTGGGTAGGCCTATCCCCCTATCTCTTTTATGGTTATATAGGGTGGCCCGAGCCACTCAAGCTTTACGGGGGTGCCAGAGGAACTGGAGAATACTCCGCTGCATTGACCTCATAGCATGAGAGGGTATATTCACTGGTAGAGTTGTAAAATAGTACAGGAGTTCGGGCAAGAGAGTCATCTTTATAGCCGAGACCCTACCCAGCCACGAGAGATTATATGGTAACCATGACGTTAGTAGCTGTTTCAAAGCTTTGAACAACGGAACATAGTTTGTGTGACAAAGTGTCATAAGAGGCAGTAATCTTAATGCCTAGATAACGTATGTAAGACTTTGCCCAATCAAATGAGAAGTTGGTGCTGAGATGGTCATACATTGATTTGGGTAGGGTCCCATTCAGTGCAGCTGACTTCTCCCAGTTAACCTTTAACCCAGATATGGCAGAAAATTGTCGGAGGATATTTAGCAGATTAGGTACTGTGGTGTGCAGCTGCGTCAGGGTGAGCATTACATCGTCCGCCAAAAGGCTAGTTTTATATTCCACCCCAGCCATTTCAATCCCTTTAATGTTGGGGTTAGAGCGAAGAAGAATGGCCATGGGTTCAATCACCAAGGCAAAAAGAGCTGGAGACAGGGGGCAGCCCTGACGGGTGCCTCTCTTGATTGGGATCTCCTGTGAGAGGTGGCCCAAGTAGTTCACTTGGGCCTTTGGGTTCGAGTAAAGGACTCGCAGGCAGGTCAAGAAGGAGTCTCCAAAGCCCCATTTGCGTAGTATATAATATAGGTATTCCCAGGAGATAGAATCAAAGGCCCTCTGCAGGTCCAGTGACAGTATGAAACCAGGAATATTACAAGATTGGAGGGTATGAATCAAGTGGATTATTTTGCGGATGTTATCCCCAGCCTGTCTACCTGGTATGAAGCCTACCTGGTCCCTGTGGATAATGTAGGGAAGTATAGAATTGAGACGGGTGGCCAATATTTTAGTGAGAATTTTAAGGTCAATATTTAATAGAGATATGGGTCTATAATTATTGGGGTTGCTGGGATCCAGATTGTATCTTCTATAAATACAAACAGCTATCATATCTGTACATTGGTGCCCAACCTGAAGCTAGGGCTATTGCCGTTTCTGCAAGTGAAACCTGAACACTCTAGCGCTGCATGCGGCATTTTTTTTTTTTGGGGAGAATATAGAGGAGACAGTGAGGAGGGGCTGCCAGGAGAAAGAGCAAAGGGAGACAGCCAGGGGAGGGGGTAAGTTGACTGTCTATAGAGGACTACAAATCCCAGTAATACAGGTGAAACTCGAATAATTAGAATATCGTGCAAAAGTAATTGCAGTAAGTGCTGCAAAAGGGGCCCAAACCAAGTACTGAGTACATATGCATGCTTGTACTTTTCAGAGGTCCGATATTGTTCTATGTACAATCCTTGTTTTATTGATTGCATGTAATAATCTACTTTTTTGAGGTTGTGGATTTGGGGTTCTTGGGGTTTTCATGAGCTGTAAGCCATAATCATCACAATTATGACAAATCACGGCTTGAATTATCTTGCTTTGCATGTAATGAGTCTATCTCATATATTAGTTTCACCTTTTAAGTTGCATTAGTGAAATAAATGAACTTTGCACGATATTCTAATTATTCGAGTTTCACCTGTATATTATACAGCAATACAAAATAATATGAAGCTACATACTCTGTGTTGTTCTGGGGTGGGGCCCTCCAGGGTCTCACTAGGGCTGTGTGGGGTCTCAGGTGGACTCTGTGGGCTCTCAGGTGGGCTTTCAGATGGGCTGTACAGGATGTGCAGGCTCTCAGGTTGGCTGTGTAAGCTCTTAGACGGGCTATGCGGACTGCCCAAGAGACTCCAAGAGCCAGCTCACCTTTTCAGAAGATGCCCTGTACACCGTTGACTCCAGCACATAAGTGACCCACTCCTTTGTGAAAGTGCCCATTAAGCAGTCAAAGTCAGGACCCCACCAGGCAGCTGTCCCCACACATGCCAGCAAACTGGAACAGGCAAAGTTGGGCTGACAACAGAGCTGAAGGTGCTTCATTTTTGCTGAAGGTGCTTTTTTTTTGTGTCCGGGTGTTAGCCGTCTTGAAACCCGGACACAAGACTCAAAAACCAGACTGTCCAGGTGAATCCTGGAAAGGTGGCAACCCTACCTGCAGCCA